TGCCATTTGCAACAACATGGAAGGACCTTGAGCATATCATGCTAAGCGAAATAAGTCAGACAGAAAAAGCTAAGAACCATATGAGTTCACTCCTATGTGGGACATGAAACTGAAACTCACGGACACAGAGAATCACGTGCAGGCCCAGTGCCGGCACTGCACCACCACAGTAGGCGTATCCCGAGGGCAGGGTCATCCGTAGCCAGGCCGGCGTGGCTCCTGGTGTGGACATGCTGCATTCGACAGCGGGAGCTTCTAGGGCAGTGGTTTTCAACCTGTGGGTCGCGACCCCTTTGGGCATTGAACAACCCTTTCACAGGGGTCGCCTAAGACCATCAGAAAACACATATATAATTACATATTGTTTTTGTGATTAATCACTATGCTTTAATTATGTTCGATTTGTAACAATGAAAATACATCCTGCATATCAGATATTTACATTACGATTCATAACAGTAGCAAAATTACAGTTATGAAGTAGCAACGAAAATAATTTTATGGTTGGGGGTCACCACAACATGAGGAACTGTATTAAAGGGTCTCGGCATTAGGAAGGTTGAGAACCACTGTTCTAGGGGCTTTGTCACAACAAGTAAGAGCAGGAAAGGGACAGAGGGACCCAAGGGTAATGAAAAGAAGAAAAGGAAATGGAAGAGAGCAACAATCTCTCAGGACCCTGATGACAACAGGAATGAATCCCAGGGAGGCGGAGACAGAGGTAATCTGCGTTGCCACTTGCTTTCTGAGAACATTCAGACCAGAGTTGCCAGGTTTAGCAAATAAAAATGCAGGCGCCCAGTTAATTTTAAATTTCAAATAAACAATGAATACATTTTAGTATAAGTATGTCCCATGCAACATACTACAGAACATACTGCTAAAAAACTACTTGCTTATCTGAAATTCAAATTTAACCAATGTCCTGCATTTAATCTGGAATCTGACCCCCATGCTGCTCTGTACACAAAATATGAGTTTCTGATGTTTTTATGGTGAAACGTGGGTGCCAGATAGCATGGCTGTTGCAGGGCTGAGGCTGCAGTCAGGGAGACCTGTGTGGGATCAGCTCTGATGTGCAGTATGTGGCCCACATAAACAGGATTGTTCCTCAGCCTCAGTGTCCTTATCTGTGAAATGGGGGTCACATCTCTTCCTCTGGCTTTAAATTAGGATCTAATAAAGCAATTAGTGCTCAGAAAGTGGAAGATAGAATTATTCCAGAAAGTGTTCTTGTTAAAAAATATAAAAAGTAATCCACGTCCCATTTAATTGCTATGGGAGGATCCTGAATGCCTTTGAATCTTGGTAAATTTTTTGTTGCTGTTAATCCCACTTGAAAATCAATTTTTTCATTGATTTTTTAGAGAGAGTGGAAGGGAGCGGGGACAGAGAGAGAAACATCAATGTGAGAGAGACACATCGATTGGTTGCCTCCCGCATGCACCCGGCCAGGGCTGGGATCCAGCCTGCAATCACGGTGCATGCCCTTGAAAGGAATGGAACCGGGACCTTCAGTCCTCGGGCTGACACTCTATACCACTGAGCCAAACTGGCTAGGGTGGTCATTTTTTTAATTAATAAAAGTGAGAATTTTCAAGTGAGTTTATATATTAAAAAGTCTTATGTTGAATACCTAATTTTTTTTAGAAAACTGAATTAACTGCTCTAGGAATAAAGATGGCATTTTGTTTAATAATAAAATATATTACTTATTTCTGTCGCCATTAATTATCCATTACTTTTCACAGAACATTTGAAAATGCACCGCTGTGATTATTCTTCATATTGATAAAATGAGGCGCAGAGAATTTGAACGGGTTGGCCAAGATTTTAACAAGACAAAACATTGTAATATTTACAAGAGGCTCATGTAATGAAAATACTAAGCTAGGAAAAATACTCTCTAAGCATTTATAAACGACAGCAGCTGCTGACTAAACTCTAGACACATCTATAGTATGTGTTCAGTGTCCCGACAACTTCAATTACTGATGTGATCATTTCTAAATTATTGCACTGCGTGCCACCAAACATGCCACCCCAGTGCCCAAGGACACACACACAGAGAAACACAAACAACACACACACATAGAAATGTGCTTTTTAAAACCATGGATAATCTCAGCGTTCTCAAAGGGGAGAGACGGGCTTCTAGCTGACAGCAACACTTGGCAATCGTTCTGCCAGTTTTAGGAGAAGCCGTCTGGGCGGTGCAGTCCTTCAGTGGCCCTGGGCGGGCACAGGGGCAGGAGCGCCCCGGGGAGCGGGTGGACGAGGACCCAGGCAGCTCCCCTGTCCCCTCTGCGGCCTGGACAGTGCTGCGGTGCGCATGCGCCACACAGCCTCCCACCTGCCCACAGCGCCAACCCCAGGGAGCCAGGCAGCTGCAGAAACGAGCCGTGAGCCTGCCCTTTTAATGTCAGCTTTCAGAAAACATTGAATCCGTCACCTGGTTGTAGTTTGACCATGACTGAGGGCCTACTCTATACCAAGCACCGTGCTGAGCCATCGGCCTTCCTCGTGTTTCAGAGGCGCCTGGTGACGCAGGGAGAAGCCTATGAGGTGCTTGTCCCGGAGCAAACATTCACTCATTGTCCAGCCTAAAATGGCAGCTAGAGACCATAGTTACTGAGCAGATCCAGGACAGACCCGGGGCCGCCAGCAGGCAGCCTGGCCGCAGAGCCGGCCTCTTCATCCCCATCTGGCACCGTCGCCATTCATTACCCATTAATTTTCATGGAACATTGAAAAGGCACCACTGTGCTTACTCCTCGTATTGATAGGAGGAGGCACAGAGACCTTGATGGGTTGGCCAAGATTTTAACAGGATGGAAGCTTTCGCTGACAGCTCCGATTCTGCACAGCAGTTCCGTTGTAGGCCCCGGTAAAGGCTTCCCGACAGAGTATTGGAGAAAGCATCGCAGGAAAACAGCAAGGAACTGGAAGGCACCGCACACTGAGGGGCTTACATTCTGGTCAAGAAGGAGGAGACAGCGCTGACTCAAAAAGAAATCCATGAATGGGAACCTATGCCTGAGATCGCACTGGCGTGAGATGTGCACACAGAGGCCTGAACGGAGAACACTGGGAGGGAACAGCCCAGCAGCTTCCAGGAAAAGGCAGACTTCCAGCCAAGTTAGAACGAAAAGCGGGTATGGTTGGCAGGGCCTTCCCGCTCCCGCCGCCTGCCAATCAGCCATCCTGTCTCCCCAGGGCGCTTGCCCAAGCAAACCACGATGGCCGTGTCCACGCGTCAGTCCCGGCGCCATAGGTCAGCGTGGCCACTGACAAATGGCAGAGCATGCCCTGGTAGGTAAAAGGTCATGCTCAAAGGGAAGAAAAAAAGAAACTTTATAAAGACAATTAGCCTCCTAAACTCCCCAGCCTGTTACTGCCCGTTTTGGCCTTGTAAACGATTTCCTCCCTGTCTGAGGACACTTACTGGTTTCTCCTGCTTCCATGTCTGGATTTGTATACGCTCCACTGTTGTTTGCCGTTCACCCTCCCCTTTTCTATGCTCTTATTCCCACCCATGCCTCTTCCCACATCACCCCAAAAGACAAGCAAAACAAAACAAGCAAATATATGAAACTTCCTGCTCATAAGGATTCCAGAGTCTCTATACTATTAAGACACTGAGTAATGGTTGGCTGCTTTCCAGGTGCCTCTGCAGTCTGGTAAATAGCTCAATTAGTGAGCAGCTCTCCTCCCTCTCTCTCCTCTCCCTCTCGCTCTGTCTCTCTCTCCCTCCCTCCCTCCTCCCCTCCCTCCTGCTCTCGCTCCCTCTCCTGCGCTCTCTCTGCCTCCCTCTCTCTCATTGAATTTTGCCAAGTGCATGCTGCACTGCTGGAAGGGGCAATGCCAAAGCAGCTTAGCAACCTCCCTTTCTGTCCCGGATGTCCAGGACACCCCAGAGCAGCAGATAAACCACCGCCCGGGCCCTGTGGGAACCAGGAGGCAGCAGGGCACCGTGGCAGGCTGCTTCTTCCCTCTGAAGGGTGGCTAATGAGCAGTGTAGGTGAGGACCCTGGGGACGCACCTGGGCACCCTGCCCGCCCAAACAGAGGAAAGCAATGAGATGGCAGCCGGAGCCGAGCTGGCGCCCATGAGCGGAGAGAGGCGGAGACCAGAAGACCAAGGGGAATGCAGGCCACAAAAGAAAAGGCTCTGCCAAGCCACTTGGGTCTCAATGGCCTTAAGTAAGGCCTGAGCCCCTTTTAAAAAATAATGCAATTCTTAAAAATACATAAGCCCAAAGGCCAGTACAATTTAAATCAGTCATGAGCCCTTAGCAGAGTTTATTCTAGTGCCTCCTTCCCTCTCCTCACACTCCCACCACCAAACACACACAGAAAGGGAGCCCTCAAATCTCTGCTATATTTATGTCTGTTTGTGGCTCAACCAGACATAAACAGTGTCAGAAGAACAAATGAGAAAGCCACGTTCCATACAGGCCCACAAGCCCGGCATAGCTCACAAGTTCTTAGTTCAGACTTGTTGCAGAGCTCAGAAAAGCCCATACAGAAAGCAGGGCATTCAAGTCATAAGGTAAACACATTCAGTCTGTTGTCTGTTTCAGTAACACTTTCATTGGTAGGGGCTATGTGATACCAATGTATTCATTACATCTTGGCATTTACAATACACAGTATTTCTCTGTTTGACTCATTACAGCCTTCATACCAATTCGGTGAAAGGAAATATTGGTTGTAAAAATACTTTTAGGGGATTACATTTATTCTAGAATATTTTCTATCACAATTTTAGAAACATTAAGTCCCAGCATTTACATATAATTATCATGGTTATACCCTAGAGAAGATATTTAAATGTCTTTCCCCTATCTGTTGGGTATGTGTTTTCTTCAGAAGGAGAACCATGTCAAACAATTATAATGCTGAAATAAGAGAAAATATTCTTGGTTGCTAAATTGAAGAAAAAGTTGCCTCAAGAAAAAATTCTTAATGTAAAATTGTACTTTGATTTGGGTGGTTTATTTTTGTTATGACATTATGGGATTTTTTTTTAATTTTAAGCATAAAATCAGGCAACTCAATTATCAAGATATTTGCATCTGAGAAAATCAAATACTGAAATTAGACTCAGACTTTTATGTGGACGTGAGTCTGTTTCTTTGTCATTTTGGTGGCTGCTTGGCCATGAATGCTAATATGCTCTGGGTGAGGGGCGGTTCTGCGCATGCTGAGAAGGACGGAGCCGCACCGGGCGGGCACGCTGGCCAGGCCTTCCGTGGGGCGCTGCCACGCCGAGCAGGGGGTTCTTCAAAGATGAGTTCTCTCAAGTGTCTTCTTCAGATCAAAAGACCATGTAGCCCTGACTGTCTGTCTGTCTTTGGGCTGGATATATACCTTAATAAGGGAGAAAGTTAATTTTAATAGCAGGCCAACACTATCTTAGCACACACGTACCTTTTTAAAGGAGAGATCAAAGGTGATAGGGCATACCTGGGAAAGTCACTAGGAAATTCTGCATTAGGGTAATCTGTCATGCATTTCCATTTTTTTTTTCTGAAGGAAAAAAAAAAAGAAAGAAAATGAGAGAAAGAAAGAAAGCATAATCAAAAGCCCAAATGACAAAGAGTTGACAGTCAGATTCTGTGGTAAATGATTCCATATCGCTGGCCTGCGGAGACGCCGAGCGAGTCCCCAGCAGACCTGATTAATTCCAGTCTCTCCAGCTGCCAGGGGAGCAGAGGGTAAGCAGTCTCGCAGAGAGGAGCCTATTACCACGACGAGGCTGAAATAGATCTAATCAACGCACAGCCGCTCCAAAGAAAACTTTACAGGTTTAGCTCACTAAGGCAGTGCTTTCAGATGGTGACTACAAAGGATCATGGGAGTCTGAAAGCATTTAGTCTTTATTGCAGCTCAAGGAAATTCTGTGCTGTGGTTAGGCCACGCTAATTTACTGAACATGACAAAGCCTCCTAGACTGTGTGACATCATTTGTTTAAAGGCCCCAGTGCTCATACTGGAGTATTTCACATATTTTTTTTTTCTTCAAAAACAGTTAATTTGTTGATATTTCATTGGTGTTTGGGCTAATTACATGCTCCATTATAAATGTCTGGACTAACCTACTTTAACATTTAATTTAAACAACAATGCTCTGTAATTTGTCATGGTGCTCACAAAGTGATGAATATTGCAACTTTGTTTTCTAAGCAATCAACAATGTATCAGTGCATCTGAAGAGGAAACTGACAGGAGGGACACCCCGAGCAGCCAATGCAGTGCTCACACCCCCAGCTGCAGAATTCAACCAAGTTACATGGCAATTTGTATCATAAATAATAGTAGGATCATTGTGGATTAACAAGGGTATGAACTAATGAACACTGTCGAAGCAAGCTCGGGTCTTTCTAAATATTCACATTGGATTGGATAACCACCTCCTTTTTAAATGGAAAATAAACAGAGGGAAATTATTAAGGCCAAAAAGATGCACATGTTAGATTGAAACCAAATAACTATTTGTCATTTTTTTTTCCTTTCGGTTGTTGGAAATCTTTGTAAAGTTTTGCAGAGGTAAATCTGCTTTTGTTTAAATAATCAAGATTTGGAACTCGGCACAAGTTACATGATACGTTGTTTAAAGTGCTGTGTGTGATAGCAAATATGCACACACACTTATTAACTAGATTGATTACTAATGAATTCACTGATCAAACCACCAAAAGAAATTAAAGGGAGTACCAAACCATTGAATTTCAGTTAATTACAGATGATAATCTACAAACTGTTTCCTTCAGAAATTTTATGTGGGAGGAAGATACAGTGGACACAAAAGATGAACAGCGGAGAAGCAGAGATGAGACAAATGGCGGCTACTTTAGCATTTTGCTTCTGAGCCTCTCCATTAGCCATTATTTCAAGCATAGGCCGTTGGTTAAAGGCGTGTGGTCAGGGGAGAGGGGACAATGAACCAAGGAAGGCTGCTGGGCACACCACAATTTCAGAAAAAGCAAAATGTGGTCACATGTGATATTCTTTAAAAAGGTCCAAGATTTCATTGGAACCTGACTTCTAGATTTGGGAAAATACCCTGGTCTGCTGAGCTTTTGCAAAGACTTCATCATAGCGACCCTAGTGGCTTCTACAGCATTCGTATTATTATCTGAATTATAGGTAAATTGTCCACATACTCAGCGTTCTTGATGATCAAGTTTTCTTCCTAAAATGTACTGTTGAGCTATTTATGTCTAGCATGTACAGACTCCCAAATGATGCCTGGGCCTTCCTTCCGGTCCAGTCCAAGATGCCTCATAAACATCCATATCCAAGTGATTTGTAAATTTCTGTCTTTCATCAGAATATCACCTTTAGTTCTAGTAGTATGTAGTTGAACTACGTTATTGGATTTTAAGTAGGATTTGTGTTTAGATCAAAGCAACATTTTCTTTTCTGAGTCTTTCCAATTTTGTCTCATTAGGGTAAAATTAACCTTCTTAAAATTGCAACACGAATAATCCGGCAGCACCCCTAACGTAGACACAAATGCCTCTGGAACTGTGGAACGGCAGAGGCCCATCCTCCACAGAGCTCTGAGCTCATCATAGAATCTCCAAGGCCGGATTTACTCCTGGTCCTTCAGTGACAGTTCCTAACGGCCTCAAATGTGCAAGCAATTAGACAGCTGTACGTGTAATTGCTTGGACATCCCTGTGTTTTCCTCCCAGACAGAGGAACTACCTTGAAAAACCCCATGGAGGAGTTGTTGACTACAGTAGATAAATTTTAAAAATATTCTTTGTAATTCTGCAAGTACCTACCAGAAATTCAGATGGAAGTATGATAGTGTTAGAGAGTTCTGTATGCATACGACACCTGAGGTTGGCTTGATCCATGGACAGGACTGGGCGTTTGGAACTCAGCTCATGGATACTTTTATCAAACTAGCCCTGTTAGTTTCAGCCTGTGACAAAGCCTAACGACATCACAACACCAATTACTGCTGGAAAAATCATTGTTGGGGAGAATAGGCCAGGCCAGAAAAGAGAAAAGCAAAACAGTATACATCCACCTGGAAAAAGAACTCAAAGCAAATAGCTTACCACTAACCAGTAGCATCATTTTCACATACCACGCAGGGGCTCATGGCACCTCCGCTGTTATTTATAAAAGAAAACCCAAATTACTAATTGTTAAAATATTAAAACGAGATAGCTTGAACTATAAGGAAAAAGAAAGAGAGATATTCACGAGGTTAGAATCTAGAAGAAACAGAAGTGAGGTGGATGATAACAGATAGAAAAGCACTGAGTGAGGTGAGCATCACTGCCTACTATGAGTATATAATTTTAGGAAAGATTGAGCTATTGGCCATCTGGCTTGTATGTGTGTTATTGGAGGATTTGTTTGTTATGGATTTTACCGTGGTGGTAAAGTATACGTAGGGTGTCTGTAATCGATGTCGTGCATATCCCAGAAAATCATTAAGGAACAGCCCTGTCACTGGAGCCTCCAAGGGCCAGATAATGACCCGCAAAGGGGGTATGAATTCATGCACATGGGGCCCATTCCAGAGAGTGTGAGCTGGGGACCAGGGGAGCCCACCCCGCCAGGAAATAGCAATGTTCTAAAGAGCACGTTCTATATCTTGTTTTGGAGGAAATAACAATCGTTCTGAAATCACCTGCATTTGTTTTATTAGAGTATTTCTTCTAAAAAGATCACATTGAAATCATATGTGATTCAGCAATAGACACCTGGCTGTACCGGCAGATTGCTGATGAAAGTCTAAGGCAGTGGTTCTCAACCTTGGCTGCACATTAGAATCACCTGGGAATCTTCTTAAAATCCTGATTTCTGGGCCTCATCCTCCGGAAATTCTGTTTCTTTGTTACTAATGTTGTGGCCCCACCCCATAACAAAGAAACAGAATTTCCAGAGGATAAGGCCCAGAAATCAGGATTTTAAAAAGATTCCCAGGTGATTCTAATGTGCAGCCAAGGTTGAGAACCACTGGTCTAAGGGCTATCTTTTTTTTCACTGGCTATCTCCAGGCAGTTTGCCTCTTTAGTGTTTCATGGGCTTTATGTTTCTTATTATGGTTTATTTTTAAATCTCTATGTACTATAATGTTTGTGCTACTGAATATTGCTCTAGTTTTCTTTAAATGCCAAATCCTCAACATGGAGTTGTAAAGATGTGTTAATTAAACTCAATCCATTTCACATCTATTAGTTCAGATGTGACCTCCCATCAGAGTTCCTGTGAAGTAGGATTTAGAGATGGGCAGCAGATGCAAACTGTTCAGAAATGTGGTGAACAACCAACTCCAGTGACCATGCCGGAGGCAGACTTTTTTTCACTTGTTCAGTTGCTGCAGGATTATATTTCAGTTTGGCTAGACATTTGGCACCAGCGGAGAAAACTACATTTTATAGCTCCCCTGAGTGTACGTCAGTTGTAGTTATTTTAATTATTTTTAACATTTCGTTTTTCTCCTGAATGGTTACTCTTTCTTTGATTCTGCCACTGAGAAAGACCATCACCACTGAGCACCCGTACTGGACAGAGCGAGGGGAGCACAGGGCGACCTTATATCCATCAGGCCTGCCCCTTCTTTTCAAGAGGCCGTTCACATCCCAACTAATAGAGCACAGAACTCCTGCAGTTACAGAGGGACAAAGAATTTGATATTTTGAAGACCACTTTCAGTGAAAAACGCTGTATAAAATGGTAGGCATTAAAGTGTTTAATAGTCCAGTTTCTGTGTTCTTGTAAAAGAGTAGCAGAGTTAATATGCCAACGAATCTTGTAGACACTGAAAAAAAACACACACAAAAAACATGCATCCTCAGAAGACAAGGCCGCTGAAATACGAAGGCCACCAAATGTCAGATCCAGCACCTTCATCACATCTCTCCAGTGTAAAGGAAGCAAGTTATAGGTAAAGTGAAGCTCCGAGCTGCCCTGGAACGAAGGTTTCTTAGAGAAGCTCATGCAGATGAGTCCCAGCGAGTGAGAGCTGACAGTGAAAAAGCTCTGCAAGTTGCAACCATTCAAAATCCAAGTTCATGTCCAAAAATCTCTGGCCAACCAAAGGGCTCCTTTCTGCCCCCTGGTGGCTGGAGATGCATTTCTACACGCCCATCATGTTAGTTGTAAAAGGAAACTTCAATGGATTTCTGAAAGTCGGTTTCTGAAAAAGGCAAAGTATGTTGTGGTCAGGTTTACCCACTCTTCTTTTTAGTGAGTACATTGTGACCGAGCAAGCATTTAATCTGGGCAACCCCGTGCTTCCTGTGTCCTGCATTATGAGAACTGACATTTCTAGTGGGACCAGTGGCTTTGTGTCTTGTGGTCTTTGGTTATTCCCCACCATGTGTCGCTCTATCAATTTCTTTCCCTGTCTCATATGCACATATCCAAAACAGAAGCAAAAAAGAGAAAGGACCCTTTGATCTCTCCTTATTTCCTTCTCTGAAATTTTTCCTGGCATCCGTCCTTTAAAATTTGTCTCCTTTTTATCTTTATCTCTCTTGTGCCCTTTAAAGTATTTG